AATAATTATATTTAATAAATATAAATAAATTCTATTTATTATAAACTATATTATATATATATATCGAGTAAATATGATATATATATTGTATATTACTCTTAACGGTAATTGAATCACCAATTATATTGTACGAGAGCAGTCGTGCAGAGCGCAATACATCTTAAAAATTTTCTCGATCATATTTACTCAATATATATATGTATATATTAAGTGTGTCTATATGTGTTTCTATATATAGTAAATATGATTGAGAAATTTTTTCAAATGTGTTGCGCTCTGCACGCGCGGTTGCTCTCGTGCAATATAATTAGCGATTCAATTACCGTTAAGAGTAATGCGTGCGGGCATCCTTGCAAATGCGTTTTAGATCGGCGTACAAAGATCGCAGATATCGGTGCAACGGGATCGTGATCAACGGGCATAAATATTGCCGATTATTAATTCAGCGAATACGTGTGTATTATGAATGATTTAAGGAGTAACGATCGCGACTTTGTGTTTCAGAGGATCACTATCGGTCTGTTTATCATACTGTCAAACGAGGCGTTGAACAGCGGAAACGCCGACAAGGAACAGTGAGTATACAATGTACACATAATTATTAAATTTGTGTTATTAAATTCATCAATTTCGCGGATTGCGCAGCTTCGTTAAGAAGCTTTTAATGTTATAAATGTAGACACCGAGCTTTACGCTTTCTCGTGGCGAAAATCATATTGCACGCTCACTCTTGTTCTCGTTCGTTGTCAAATTAACAAATGTGTACATACAATGTATCTATCTTCTTTATATTACAGTGCTTCTCGAATGTTGTGTTTTGTTCAAGGATAATCATTTTTTATATTTATTAATGCGCTGATATATTGCTCGACAGTAAGAGTGTATTTGTACAACTTTTTATTTATAAATTTTAAATTCACGTTTTCTATTTTTTTTTTTATTATTCTGTTGCCGTAAACAGTGTGCATTTCAAGATCCACGTGCCGGAGATCATAAAACATCAGATTCACACGAAAACGGTGTTCATACATATTCACAAGCCGGGTAGTTCAATTCCGAAGAAGTCGAAGTTTAAGGAAGAAGCGCCGAAGAAAACCTATCATAAGGAGACGCATCAAGAGGACTGGAGTTCCTGGAGCACTTATGATTATCACAACGATCACGATAATAAATCGGGCAATAATCTGCCCAAGGATCACGACGGTATTCACAAAGAGGAGGCTCATAAACAAAAGGAAGATCCTATCCTCCATCAGTATCCCAAAGACTCTTACATGCCCGCGTCGCAGCATAATAATAAACCCGATCATCTGAAGGGGAAACACGGCGACATGATCGGATACTCTTATCCACCGCAGTACGCGGTTCACGAAGACGTCAAGGAAACAGATCACAACGACATCGAGCCCTACATGCATACGTACGAGGAAGGTTATCATAAAAGTGGCGAATCCGCGCGCGGACACATTTATACGGGCGATGTAACAAAGTTTTACGATGGCAAGCACGAGGAGGGCGATCACTCCATCGAGGAGGAGTATAAGAATGAGTCGACGGAGAAAACGCACGCCGGCCGTTATTTCATCGATGATAATGAATATCAACGTGATAGCGATAAGCACAAACCGGAGAAGCGCGCATCTTTTGGAATGTTCGCGTTATCGTGAAGCGAAAAAAAACTAACTTGAAATCAGAGATCGTGCCAATGAAAAATATTAATTCCTCGGGAATGATATCGTACAACATCGAGCTGTTATTTAAAAAGCTAATTTATAAGAAAAAGAAAAAATTCGTTAATTTTAGTTATCATAATGACGTCGATTGACGAATATGCTATCAAGGATAGACTTGTTGAAAAGCTATCAGATAATATAAAAATAAATGTTTAATTAAGCAATATGTCAATGAGTTAGAGAATCATAAAAAAAAACGTACAATAAATTAATTTTCATATAGAAATAAATATATAGGCTAAATAAAAATAATATTAAGTAAGTTATACTAAATTAAATAATTAAACAATATTATTTTAACGTTTAAAAATTATTTAGACATTCATGAGAGTTATTTAGTAGATGTAACGAAGAAATAATAAATTGTGCAATAAGATGATTATATTATAACTCAAAAGATTGTTTGATTAATAGCTGCGATTACAGATAATTATTGTAAATAGATACAACTTTATTCTCAATAATTCATGAAACTAATGTACATCTAGGCGGAGCGTGAAATTCTCATTTATAAAGACATTAGCTTCATTTGCAACATCTATATAACAGGTAGCGATCAATCTAATTTATGATCACCTTTAGCGTCCTTGCATTCTACACAGAACTGCGCCTCTTTGATTATCACATACAAGCAAGCTTTTGCGATCACAAATCACGACAGGATTAACACATTCGACGGCCATATTTTGAGAATTTCTTTATCTTTTTTAAATGTAGATATATATATATATATATTATTTCTAAATGTGTTTGCGATTTAATATTTTATTTGAATCTATCTATATAAGGTTTCGATATTATATAAAATATAAGTTATTAAAAAATTTCATTAACTGTTTTTAGAATATTTTTAGAATATTAAGATAAACGCTTTTACGATAAATGCCTAAAGAAGAAATAAAATAAGCTTTTCTCAACACAAAACGACGAATCTAAATGCAATGCGCCTATCAATGTACGCCTGTCATACATAGAAGTATTCAAAAGACGCATAATAAATAAAACTGATAATTTTAATAAAAATGTTAAATAAAAGTT